ATTAATGTAGCCCTGGTAACTTTGTGTGTGTTTAGCTAACCGTTTTGTAGTTTCTGTGTATAAAAGGCTGGCCTAGAACCAGGTTCAACGCTGTCGTAGGAGAGAACGCCTATGGCAGTCACTGGCCAGTTTCAATAAATCCTCGCTTGCTGCTTAAGACCTAATTGGAGTCGGTGGTCTTACTCTCGCGAATGTTGGTCCACAACAATCTGAGAAATTCCAAGGATTTCTCTTGCCACCTAAAATTTAAGGCTTCTAAGAGTTTAAAGTTCAAATTAAGTTAGGAGAAATTATATGGTTGTGATAATAAAATGCATAAAGTTTAGAAATACATTTTTAAGAAAAATAATTCTTGCATTTTCTAAATAATTAATAGTTCAAAATATATTGTAGTCCTTATGTGTACTATGTGTGGTAAAATTTCAACCTAGGATATAATATTTTATTCTAATTAAAAAAATTACCAAAGGTGTGTTGATAAATGTCAATCTAAAAAATGCTGGCTGTTTACTTTTAATTACCATTGGAAAATTAAGGTTTAAATATTGTATAGTTTTAATAATAGAAGGCAGAACATACATTTTAAAGGAAAAGGAGGAAAAAGTTCTATACAAATAGCTGAGGGTATATACAAGTTAATGACAGAAAGAAAGAATATTAGAGTAGAAATGCATTTTTGGACGACATAAGAAAAGGTTTGAAGACTAATTCGAAAGTATAAAATTTATGAAAGTTATGTATATAATGAGAAGAAAAAAAAAGTTTTGAAAGAATAATGAGAAGAAAAAAAAAGAAATTTTGAAAGAGAGAAATAAATTCTAAAATTAACTATTTGCAAAAGTTGTAAAAGGGTCATAAAATCTCAGGGAAGTTTAAACAAAGGCTAGCCCACTACCCTTATCTCCCCTGCCAGGGACAGAGTAAATGGCTAATACGGAAAGGGAGGGCAGGACAAAATTGACAAAAACAGACATTATGCCTCAGACAGCCTACTCTTCAGATAGGTTGGGGGTGGGACGGCATCTGTACTTCATAGGTCAAATGTATAAATTTGCTTACTTTACTTTTTCAATGAAGTTGCATACTTTAATTACTTAGTAAATTAGCTTTACACAATATAATCAAGGTCTCATATAAACTCACTTATATGAGAAGCCAATATTTTATAGCCAGTTGATTCTAGTAAAGTCCAAAGTAAAATTTGCATACATATGCAAATGAGCACTAGCCAAAAAGAATGCTGTTTAAGATTAAATTTTAAGCTTAATAAAAGGAGAAATCTTAAAATCTCTTCCGCTACCATTTACAAAGTAAAGTAAGTTATTGTTCAAGCATTAAATCTCACCATTAATGAGACACCATAACTAAAAAGAGAGCTACTTTTACTTGAAATGTATGCATGGCAGTATTGGCTAGTATCTGGAAAGCAACCAAATTTGTTGCTCTGTTTAAAAGGAAGAAAAAGTTTTTTTTTTCTTTTTTTTAAAATATATTTTATTGATTTTTTACAGAGAGGAAGGGAGAGAGATAGTTAGAAACATCGATGGGAGAGAAACATCGATCAGCTGCCTCCTGCACATCTCCCACTGGGGATGTGCCCGCAACCCAGGTACATTCCCTTGACAGGAATTGAACCTGGGATCTTTCAGTCCGCAGGCCGACGCTCTATCCACTGAGCCAAACCGGTTTCGGCGAAAGAAAAAGTTTTTAAAGGAAACTCCCCAAATATAGCTTAAAGATCACTCTGGGAGGAAATAAAGGGAAATGCCCTTTAAATATTTAGAAACTGTAATTAAAAGTCAATGTATTAGGCCTTAAAAAATACAAATACAAAAAGAATTGCCTTAAAATCTTAAATGACTTTTTAGAAGTTATTAAAGGAGATTAATTAGTTAAGATCCTATCTAAAAATCTCTATGGAAGAAATGACAAATTTGTTACTCAATTAAAATGACTCAGTGACACAAGCTGTCATTTCCAGCAATCTTGTAAAAAGTGGAAAATTCAGCACATTACAGGAAAGCATATAATTCCCAAGGACAGGCAATTATAGAACGCCAACATCAACGGCTAAAATCCCAACTTGAAAAACAAAAAGGGGGGATAATGGAGAAATCGCCTGTAAGCAGACTACACCAAGCCTTAATTACTTTAAATTTTTTCATTTGTAATGCCGATGGCAAGACACCCATGGAATTATACTGGTGTCAGAATAAGCCAAAGGAAAATGGTCTAGTTAAATGGAAAGATCCCGAGTCTGGTTTATGGAAAGGCCCTGACCCCCTGTTAACATTTGGTCGAGGATATGCTTGTGTATTTCCAGAAAACTTCTCCAAGCCCATGTGGATTCCCACAAGAAATATTAAACTTCAACATGGATCTGAGGGAGGAACTGGCCAGATTAATTAAGACCCTGCTTCTGGAGACGCACCTTGCAGTTGCAGACAATCGACTACCTGAGCCACAGATAGCAGCCGCCCCAAGCAAACCACTGAAGATAAGGAGTGGGAGGAGAACGAGAAGGATGACAAACAGCCCAGAGGTGACCTGGGGCATGGTGAAGAAGCCGATCCAGAAAGCTGAGCGAATTTGTGAGAAGACCAAAATCCCAAGAACGCCTGAGAATGTCTTTCTTGCCATGCTAGCAGTCACCAGCTGTGCGGTAATACTACCGGGACAAATGGGGAATTATATTGGACTTATGTTCCTAACTCTCCATGGGTAAGACCCCTTACGTGGGCTGATCCCCCGCCTAATGTAGTCACCAATAATACCAAACACCTTGGTCATCCAGGAGGACCACGGGTAGGACAAGGAAATATATGGGCAAAGTATAATTACACGGGTGTCACCACTAGCTTCCCTTTTGTATGACACAGAATCAAACTACTGCTCCTTTGTGTGTAGAATTAAAGAGTGGCTTCTGGCTAGCATGGACACCAAAGTAAGGGGAAGCAAAAGCCAAAATACATCTACTATCACTACTTGCTCCAGGGAGAGGTACAGAAAATGTAACATTACTAAGACATCCCCCCCACTGAGCCATTATGTAAAAAGTTTTATGAATGGCACCCCACTGAGGAAGAAATTAATTGACAAGACTGTTATAGTGACCACCCCACCAGCAGCAAACTTAATAACAGTGTATAGTAACAATCACACCCTAAAATGGAAGGGGACCACATCCTATCTATATGTTGAAGCTAATCACTCCATCTCATGGTATGGAGGAGGATTTGTTAGATCTCAATTACAACATGACAATTGGCCCCTACAAAATACGTAATGGAAATTAGCTGCTGCACTTGCACCTATAAAATGGTATAGTTTTACCTATAGCTCAGATAATTCCATTCATACCTTATGGGGAACTCCCAATAAGACAGTATTTGCCACCACTTGTGTATTTGATCCTTTTGTACTTCTTTCAGGCCCCATTCAGATGTGCCTTAACGCAACAAGCCATCTGTATGAGGTGTTATGCACAAGCTGCACACTATCCCATTGTATTAATTCTACATTCCAAAAAGATTCCCTCATGATTTTAAAACAACCTGCTTTCTCTTGGGTTCCTACTAACCTAACCGAGCCTTGGGAATCTCATCAAACCTATCAACTGTTACATGACCTAGTAAAAATCATAAAACAACAAAAAAAGCTTTCTTGGAATGTTAATAGCAGGACTCTTTGCTCTCGTAATGTTACTTACTTCTGTGGGAATTGCTGCTTCATCCTTGGTACAAACTGTTCAAACTTCTCAGTTTGTACAACCAGTTAAGGAAAATGTAACTAAGATCTTGTCTATACAAAAAAGAATTTTCAGCCAGTTTGAGATAGAATTATCAGCACTAAAGTCTACAGTCTTGTGGATGGGTGATAAAATCCACGGCTTAGAGCAAAGAATATCTTTGCAGTGTCACTATAATTTTTCCCAGATTTGTGTTACCCCCATTCCCTATAACAGTACCTTACACCCTTGACAATCAATAAAAAAAATCACCTTCTTGGTGCTTGGGGTACAGGTAACACAACCCTTGATATTTTAGAATTACAACAGCATATTGTACAATTATCCCAGGCAAACTTACAAACTAATTCCTGAGATGCCTGGCAGCAATTTAAAAAGGACATGGAAGAATTTAATCCCTTCCACTGGATCTCCTTACATTTGCCTCTTAGTTTAACCACTATTGCCTGTCTCATTCTTGTTCTTATATGTTTATTTCTAGTCTACAGATGTGGAATGAAGAGTCTTAAAAGGACGCGAACCCTTCAGGCGGCATACACTTTTCAAGATTTATTAAGGGAACAAAAAGGGGGAGATGCTGGAAGCTATCCATTGTCTACACAATCATGAAAGTGAAAACAGGGAACCCAGAAGGCTGATGGGCCTTGAGCTTTGGCAAGGGCTAAAGCTATGCAGTGACTGTTCTGTCGAGACAATGGTGGCTCAAGCAATTTCCTGACCTAATAGTCTCAAAGTAAATTTTTACTAATATTTACTCACCTTTAAGATAGTCTGTCTGCTACCGGATTGCCTGTCTGCCTGCCTGACTAAGGGCAAGATGTGTATCAAAAATTGAATAAAAAGCTAATAGGGCCTGGGCACCAGTGAAGCCTTTCCACTAGAGAAAGACTCTCCACCTGCCCCCGCCCCCCATGATTTCCAAATTCATATTTCTTGTCTAGTGTATTCATTTGTGCATGGCCCTTCTCCAGGTCCTGAACCCTAGCTGTGCAGGTTGTGGCTTTTACACTGGTGATTCCTTGAGACCCTACTCCATCCAATTTGCAGCCACACCCAAGTGTTTGCAGTGGCTTTTCCATATGAATAGCCTGTCCTGGCTTGGGCTTCAGACCTTCCTAAAACCTCTCAAATAAACAGCAGCTGGCATCAGCATGCCCCAAACCTATCAATAAGCAGCCCAAGCACCAAGACCTAGCACTAACACCAGTCTGCCTTGGTTCACTGCTTGCCCTCACCTGGGCACTTCCAAGCCCAACACAAGCAGCAGACATTTGCAAATAGCTCTGTAGCTCCTGCTGGGTGGCCTCAGGTAGTGGCTGACTTTGCACCACCCAAAAGGCCCCAGAGCCAGTGCACTTGGTGGGAAGCTTCAGACCATACCAGATTACAACTCTTCAAATCCACAAGCAACACACTCAAAGGGCAGATTCAGTGAGCACCAAAACCCCACTGAAGTAAGTCCTACCCAATAGGAGTGTCTCCTGCACAGTAGATCTTCTACTGTGGTTGCAGCTAATCCTCACCGCCAATTGGCCTGGAGGTCAATTCTTCCCAGTAACACCAACAGCAATCAAGGATCAACTACAACAAGACTGTGCACATAGCCCACACAAGGACATACCTAAAGTGCTCAGTTCAAGTGACTGAGGAGGCTGAGTCATTGGACCCTATAGGACACCTACTAAACCAGTATTACATGAACTGTTGAAGGGTATTCTTTAAGAAGAGGAAGAAGAAGAAGAAAAGATAAAAAATATGAACAATAAAATGGCAATAAATAGATGTCTTTCAGCAATTGAATCTAAAAATCAAAATAAGCCTGATGGGTGTGGCTCAGTGGTTGAGTGTCAACCTATGAACCAGGAGGACATGGTTCCATTCCCAGTCAGGGCACATGCCTGGGTTTCAGGCTCGATCCCCAGTGAGGGGAGTGCAGGAGACAGCCCATCAATGATTCTCTCTCATCTGATGTTTCTATCTCTCTCCCTCTCC